ATTCAAGACACTCAGAACAGTTCAAAATTGTACAAGAAATACTTATTAATTTAGGCTGCACCATGTTGTGCTATCAATGCCACAGTACAGCTGGCTTAGCTCAGCCACTACCAGCAGAGCACCCTGTTCAAACTTACTGGAGTCCCTATCATGTTCTCCAGCATAGAAGGAGGTTGTAAAATACAGGAAAATGTAGTTTCACTGTAAAGATGCTACACCAAAGCATATCTTTGTCATCAGGATAAGCAGGACCTGACTGGCCTCAGATAAAATTAGGTTAACAACCCGCTTGCCTATGTTTTCATCCTGTGCACCCGTTCCTCACTATTTTTTTTCACAGCCATGAGAAAGGCTGAAGAAATTTTAACATATTAAGGCTCTGATTTCTAGCCTTTTTCTTGAGGAAAAAAAAAAGGTAGCATATAAGAAAGTAGAAGCATCAAGGCTGAATATTTATCTCTATCAGGAAAAGTAAAAATTTCAGCCTGACTCAGGGCAGCACATTTTCTTTTAATTCAGACACCAGTTTCCACCAGATACAGATCAACATTCGTGACTCTTGTACATTATTTCTTCCTCTATTAGCTCCCCCAGAGTTTAGCCATCTAGCTAAAATCATGCTTTTTCAGTATGGATGCTGCAAACAGCAAGAGTTCCCAGAGGCATTTCATTTTCAGGGACACAATCAGCCTGAATACCACCAGTCTTTATCAAAAATAGTATTGCCATAGGTCAACTCTACCAAATATGTAGGAGTGTTAGTGTAGTCTTCTAATGTCCCATACTCTTTTGCTTTCATTCCTCCAGAACAAGGAATGGCCTCTTCCCCAGAAAACCTCCCACATTCAGAGATTTATTTAATTCCCATAAGACTGCACAACCCGTGTGTGATGTCCTGTGCTAACACAATGTTCTGCTTTACCCTTCAGGACTGGGAAAGGCCAGAGGCAAATGTAATAGCAAAAACCCCCGTGTTTCAGGTGGACTTGTCATTGCAAGATACCTCAAACCACACTAACAGAGTAACCTTTCTCCTCCCAGCTCACACAGAGCACGGGATCATCAGTAAAGGAAGCAGCTGTGACCTCTTCTGCCTAAAGGTGTCCTGATCAGTGGCATTCAGCACACATCTGGTCACAGAGCAGTGATTGCTGGAAACAATGATCTTCTAGATTTGTCTAGATCTAGACAAGGCTGTCTCCTGTTAAGGTATGGGCTACATGGTCACTCCAGACTGTTATCTACTGTAATGCAAAAGGTACATACTCCTTCCTTCCTTGAGCAGTCAGCTGAAAGCATCAGCATCTACACCTAAGGCAGCACTGGTAGCAGGGGCAGCAGGAGCTCTCACAATTGTAACTATCACAAGACACAATTTCAGAAAAAGACCATTCATTTTAAAGCCTTTTTCCATCCAAATAAAAGTTATTTTTCCCATTTAATTAAATAAAACAAAAATCAGGAGTGATGCAAGAGAAATTCAACTATATTCTGTACTATAACAGTAACTTACCCATCTAGTCAACAGTGTTGTACTAATGTGTAACAGCACAGGATGTTGAAAGGCATGGTCACCTCTAGAGCTTAGAGCTGGGCTGCTAGCAAATCTAGCTGTAAGCCTGCCTTTACACCTTTATTTCACTGAGTGAGTAGCCTAGAAGTTTGTATTATCATATTATCAGTACAAAGTTTCCAGTTCACCAATTACTTTCCCCTCCTGCCTAATCAGTACTTCGTACATCTCATACCCAGAGGGATTATGCTTCCCTCTGTAAATGCCTCTTTGTGGCCTCTCAAGAGGCACTGCAGAAACTTGTCACAGAGGGCAATCAGTGCTGGTTCCTCCTGCCTGCTGCCAGCTTAGCACACTTAGTTCCTGCCATCCGATAGGATTGATCGGCTCGTTCTTTGAAAGACCCCGATCTCAGGTTACTGGTCCATACACAGGGCATTCCACGGGACCTTTCAAAACCAGGAGTCCGATCACAAGTACACAGGGTGAACCTCGAGAGGCTGCAAACCACTCGCTTGTACCAAGTCAGGGGGTTGGTGTAAGGGCAGCCTTTCTGCAGAGCACATGCCCACCCTGCAGCTGTGGTGACAGCCTCACAGGCTGTTCCCCACACAGGCCAGGCTGGCCCGGCAGGAGCTGTCAGAGGTTGTTGCCTGATGCCATGAAATACTATTTTCAAATTACAGCAGCAGCCACTCATGCTATGGGTAACTATAAAATTTCCACTTAATGCATGTTAATTGGATTATTATTTTAAAGTCATGCTCACTGCCCCCACATTAATAACAAATGAGCTCTCTCTAATTGTTATTAGAGTAACTCCCATACAAATTAATGATTAGGCCATTAAGACTACACAGCTGAATTGCCATTAATTCTCATATCAGCTAATAAAGTGACAATAAAAAAAAAGGAAATTCCTTTAAGCATTACTGAATTCCATCACTCGTACCAAAGGCATACAAGAAAGGTCTGTTAAGCGCTTTTTACTTTTATTAAATGTTAAGCTGAAATTATTCATCATAATCTGGAAAAAAATGACTACGAAAAGCTGCATGTGTAAGTTTCATGTATTTGTAGGTAGTGCTAAAGTGCAATCTTTTAACCACTGCTCATAGGGTAGAGTGTAACACTGTTATCAGAATAACTCTGTTCTAGAAATAGTTCTTCTGGGTGCAACAGCACCAAATAATAGCTGTCACATGAAAATCACCACAGCATTTTCTACATGTCTAGGACTTTTAAATCAACACAAACTACATTTTTCAAAGGGATGTTACCTAATCACTGTTTATAATATGTTGAGACTATTCCACTGCACATTTACAAATAGAGGTGTTGAGTTTCTAAAATGGCACAAATGCATTATAAAAAAGGTAGAAAATTTCTTCCTTGCTAAGGCACCACACACACCTTCCTGGCACATTTAACAATCATTTACACATTCTGTAGTCATTCAATAATTCAAAAAAACCCAAACAGCTCCCAGGCTGTATATCTGGCCTTTTTGCTCCTCATATCTGCTTTGGACTGAGCTTTCCTACACTCCTAATCATAGGCATTTGAAAATGTAATGCACTTACAGATATGGCAGACCTTGCCTTCCACTGCCTTCCACCCATTTCTTTCTAACCTCAGTTTTAGATCGTAATTTTTGTATTCTGGAGGTAGTTGCTAACGTTATCAAACACATCCTATTATCTTTACATTTCTACATTATGAAAATTAGAATTTGCCAGAAATATGCAAGTTGCACTGCAGAAACCCATATCCATTAGTTTTCCAGGCAGAATACCCATGAACTAGAACATATAAAAGATGCATAGCTCTGGGTACGATTACGATGCGCTTTGGTGCGGAAGGAGTAAAGATCTCCCTGGCATTAACTCAAATGATCATATTGCTTGCAGTAGCATAACTACATCATTTGATATTAATACCCTTAATGCTGGTATTAAAATCACCCAACTGATGTAATTGGAAGCGTTCAGTACCTCCTTCAAGAATGATAAGTAGCAGTGGCCAACATTTCCTACTGATTTTCAAAAAGATACGTTTCTATGTGGATTATCCAGTAGGGCAATTTCAGTTTAGCACACTATACAAATGCATGCAAAACCACAGCCAAATGAGTAAATCAGTGAGCTATATGCATGGTTTATTAGATCTAGCATACTCACCAGCTTGCAAGACCAAGAATTAAACATGCAGACCAGCTCCTTATCTAGTCACCACATCAGCAGAATAATAGACATGCTTTATGGAGTCCATACAGGTACGAAAAATAGCAGAAAAATCCCTCTCATAATAATAAGCATAACTATATAAATGTCTTATTTGTGTGACACACTGGAATACATCCAAACCACGCAGTGGCAACTGTGGTTTAGTCCGTTTACTCACATGTTTAATAAAGGCACTTCACAAGACTGTCCAACTTACCTTTAGCCCTCAAGTAGTTCAGATGAGTGCTATTTGTTTAGTAGCACTTAGGTTTAGTTCTAATCGCTACTTTAAAATTTTATTTCTTCCCTTTCTGGAGGGCATTGGCTGAAATACCCTGTGAGCACCTTACCCTTTTAGCCACAACTACAACAGTGTCTTCTGCTATTCCTCATGATCCGAGCAAGGCAAGCTTGGGAGCTCTGGTCCAACTACGACTCAAACCTGCAATTAAGTCAAAACAGCACCTCTTTACCACTGGAAAGAAGCAACAGTCACGTTTACATTAACTGTATCACATTGATATCGTAAAACATTTTACTGCTTTCCAATGCACTATACTGGAAGAGCTGATAAGCATCAACACTGCATTTGTAAAGTGCCAGACAGTACAGAGCTTCAGCCACAGCTCATGGTTACACCACCTTCAATAAAGATGCTTAGGCTACAGTAAATATCATCTACTCAGCCACCTCCCATCCCCCAGACAGGAGAACACTGCAATCTGCCCCAGCACAAGCCAAACCACACCACGGACTGCAGGAGAACTCTCTCCAAATACAGGAAAAGGCCGCTCCTCACCTCGGCCCTGCCCGCTCCCACAGGGATAACTCAGCAGGGGCCTCCATGCAGCTGCTACTCCTCTAGCCCACCGCCAGAGGTAAGTCCGCAATAGCCACAGAAGAGTTTCCCGCCTCACACCTGCGGCCGGTGTGGGGACACGGGCCCCTCAGGGCGCAGCAGCCACACAGCTCCCCCGGGACAGCAGCGCCGTGGTGCGGCCCGGGGCAGGAAAGCCCCAAGCCCCGGAGGGACTGGACAGCAAGGCCCAGAAGAGCCCCGTAGGGCACGAGCCTTGGAGCCCTTTGCCCCAGGGAGTGGGAAGGTGGGGAGGCTCCTCCCGGCCGGACAGACGGACGGACGGACACGCGGCCCGGGGGCCCTCGCGGCGCGCGCAAGCGGCGGTTGCGCACGCGGCCCCTCACGCGGCCCCTCACGGCCCAGCCCCGCCCACGGGGGGTTTTACGGTACAAAACCAAGGCACAAGTCTTCGAATGCCATGGTGTTAAAAACAGTTGCCTCAGTTAAGGAACGTGGCTTTTACTGTGCTGACATATGGCACGATAATTTTAAGCTGAGACAGAAACTATCGGGGATAGGAGCCGGACTTCATATGCCTCACTTCTGAATCACTTGTCTTCAGGCTGGAATTCTGCTGGAGTATTTCAGCTTCCCTGTAGTAAGTTCCATGTAACGCAAAACAATTTTGTTTAACTTTTCTTAGTAGGAATCTTACATGCTTGAAAAGGACATGTCCAAGACCTTGTTTTAATCATTTACATGTGAAAGTTCAAGGAAAAATATTTTAAAGTAGTGATTTTCCATAATTGATTCATGGGAGGAGATCTTAATACAGCATTCTAATTTGGAAAAACTTGTCTTAAGGGCCAGGAAAATTGTTGGTGTCTGGCAGTTATCAATAATCAAGGCAAATTTGTACTTGAACTGTCAAAATCAAATCAGCTTCACAGTCAAATGGTTATCTGTGGCAAGAAAAGGCAAACTGCTGCTGAAGCACCTTTTTTTTTTTCCATTTTCTCTGGACTTTGGCTTTTATTTACAGAAATCTTGGCCAACTTTTAAGCCTTTCAGTAGAGATGGGTTGGAATTTGGGATGTGTTCAGTGCTCTCAAATTGAATACAGTAAAACTCCTTACATATATTTTTCCCTTAACTGCTCATTAAACATGGGGTGTTTGCACTCAGTGTAAATAAGATGTGATCTGGCTGGCACCTCTGTACACAAATATAGTAGAAGTATTAGCAAACTATTTTTCTATAAAAATAGAAATAAAAATTAAAAATAAATTTTAAAAATATGCAAGAAGCTGACATCTTAAGGAATGGTAAAATTGAAAAACAGGGAGATGGAATTTTTCTGAACTTCAGAGTAGAACATGAAATATTAGCTGCATTTAATCTGAGAACTGAATTAAAGTCTGGTCTGCTCTTGCATTAAATCAATCTTAGTTGCTGCACTCCTTCTGGAACTTTTCAAAGATTAGAATTTTCAAGTTGTCTTAAATGGTATTCCTTGCATGCCTTTGTAACACTGGTGAGAAAAGGAGATGATGCTTGGAAAAGGAGTGTTCCAGAAGTTCATTTACAGCAGCGGTAACTAAGCCTTTGCCAGGACCAGAGCAAATGAATTCTGTTAAACTGGCTTGTAGTATTCTGTATTATAAAATTCATACCTTTGTTCTAAGTGTACGAGCAAATGTCTTGTCTAAGACAGATGTTCCTGTAAAGTGAGCTTTTCTGAGAAACAGGGGAAAGCATGTTTGGGGAGTAAAAGGTCAGGTGTAAAGGGTTCTGAATGCCAGGAATGGGATATTGATTTTTTTCTTATCTATGTAAAATCATTCCTAATGTGTTCTCTCCAACCACTGACAAGGCTTATTCTAATCACTGTCTGAAGAAAATGAATAAGAGGCAATGAAAAATCTGCAATATGGAAAAAAGATTCTTCCTTTAGGAAAGAAAAGGTTTTGATTATGATTCAAGGTGTTTTTACTGACTGACTATTCAAGGTGTAGTTTCTAATTACTTTAATTATCTCATCAGTATTATAATGCTGGAACTATTTCAATCATGTGTATAACTGATAAAATTAATTTCCAAGAATCATTATTAAGCTTATATCCAGTAATATAAAGCTATAGTTCTTTTGTAGCTATTTTATGTAGTAATTTTTTTACCTTACACTTCATTGACTCCATATGAAACACTGACAAGGCAAGCTTATCAGATGACGAAATCTATTTGGGCTTTTTTTAAAAAACTGTGTGCTTTATGGCCTTTTAAGGTCATAATTTTCCCATTCTCATTTCACTACCACAGTGCCACCATTCACCTAGTGGCTCCTGACCCAAACAAGCACTGTTTGTTCTTTGACTCTGCATAATTTGACTTAATTATGAAAAAAAAAAGCTACAGACAGGATTGATGTTTTATATAATTGAGAGTATTGCATTCATACTGAAGATTCTGCAGAAGAACTTAGACCACTTATGTGGACAATTAAAGGATTCATTATGAACACTGACACTTCCACGAAAAGCAGCCAGTTTGACACAACAGAATCACAGAATATGCAGAGTTGGAAGGGACCCACAGGGATCATCAGGTCCAACTCCCAGCCCTGCACAGGCCCATCCCCAGGAGTCACACCCTGTGCCTGAGAGGATCATCCAAACCCTCCTGGAGCTCTGGCAGCCTTGGGGCTGTGCCCACTGCCCTGGGGAGCCTGGGCAGTGCCCAACCAGCCTCTGGGGGAAGAACCTTTTGCTGAGATCCAACCTGAGCCTGCCCTGGCACAGCTCCAGCCATTCCCTGGCTGCTGTCCCTGGTCCCCCCAGAGCAGAGCTCAGTCCCTGCCCCTCCTCAGGCCTGGGCTGCAAGAGTAATTATTGGGCTTTTGCTAAATGTGGATAGATCTCAAGTACTCTGAGGAGGAAAAGCATGAATCCTTGTTTTAATGGAATCCATTGTGTGCCTGGAAGCTGTCAGAGTCCTGATGAATTATGTTTGCAAGAAGAGTAAGTGATTCCCTGCCAATGCATTACAGAATGTTATATTGATTTTACTGCTGGCATATAGAATCTATACAGCTTCTCGGTGGGTATGGAAATCTACATTGCAAATGAAGTTTTAATAACTGCTATGCAGCTATTACAAGTGAATTAGAAAGATTTTAATTCTCAACTAACTCCTGCTTTCTCCATGGCTAGGTTCATGCTGTCTAGTACTCCAAAACACCAATTAATGTTTTTCCTTTATTACTGTTGGTGCATATTCATTATAAATTTGCCAAATATTTCTTAAAATTATTTTTTATGAATACCTGTGGCTTTGGGAAGGAAAGAAATCTGAAATTACTAGATAAAGCAAAAGCACATAGTGAAATATCCACCCTAAGATGGTGTTTTCTAATGACCATAAAACTTGAACAAACAATGCTTCTCTACATTTTTGTGGCCGTGTTGGCATATCTGTGGCTTTTTGAAACAATCAGATACAGCCTTACTGCTAATTATTGATTTCACAGAACAAAAATGGTCCTTTAACAGAGAAGGATAACTTCATTTTTGGTTTTTAAAGAGAAGAGCGTTTGTTTTGTTTATTTGTAGAGACCCTTTCAACTGTAGGGAAAACGTTTTGCTTTAATAAATACTGATAAAGAGGACCAGTTAGGAGTGGGACTAGGTTTTTATGGTAGGGAAAGAACTTGTGTTCACCCCTAGCTAAAACCAAACCGATTTTTTGCAGACATTGGTTCCCTTTTGTGCTCTGTTGCAGACTTTCTTTGTCATTAGGAGCATCTTCTCAGCTCTGTGTGATTCCTTGGTGCATTACAGGAAGATATTGTTCTGCAGCACTTACTGAGAGTAATGTGGGGTTTGTTCTTTCAAATTTCAGCTGGGCTAAAATGAAGTTCTGCTGCAGCAGCAGCCCTCCTTTTCCAGGAGCACCGTGCAACAAGCTTCATGGTGTTAAAAACAGAAATGGAAAAAAATGGACAGAAAAAAATATACAAGTGATTGATGGAACATAAATGGGTACTGGGTCTGTTAGACATCCCTCCACTACAAGAGCTGCAGAATCTTGCTGCTGACATAGACCAGGAGGGTTTTCATCTGAGTCACCTCAGTATGTGATACGAATGATAAACAAGTGAATACTCATAAACAGTTTAGATGAACCAACTTGAGGATGCCAATAAGACCCAAGGACCACTTCTTCTTAACGTTTGCAGAGTAGAACCTTGTGTGCCTTTGTAAGTGCACATTTTTCTATACCTATTTTAATACTAGGTAAGCTTTATTCCAGTGAATACAACTACTGTGCTTCATAGTGTGCATGCTACGAAGAGTAATGCCAGAGGATTACTTTTTTTTAAGTTAATGTCAAATCCATTACCTGCCAGTTTCTCTTCCTACTTTGTCACTCTTTTATAACAGAAGTCCTCTAATTGTGTGTTTTTATAGACTGAATCTTTAAGTCAATAAATGTTTTTATTGACTTGTAGGGAGCTCAATATTTGGATAACATTAAAGTGGCTGGCTTATGGGAGAGCTCTGAGAAGTGACTGAGCCCTATAAAATGAGTAGATAAATGTTTGCAAGCTCTGAAGTGCTGACAGAAAAATATGGCATAGTCTGCTATGTCTTGATTCTCCTTTTGCCCTGGCGTAAGACATCTCTCTACCCTGCTTTTTTATCAAACAGATAAGAATTTTCAATTCAGTGTTTTTCTGTCATTAACTCTTCTGGAGTGAGCTTAAGTGGGACACTTTCTGGTAGTTTGAGCATTAAGTTGAAAAGATATTAATCTGGGTTACTTTGGGAACCTGTAACTGCAACATAAACTCTCTGAAATAAGGCTGTTTTCTGGAGACAGCAGTGATTCAGGATTTAAGCTCAGGGCACACTGATGAAGCAACTGCTTCATGGGACAGCAGTGAAAATATTTTTGATTCCTTTGCTTTCTGCAGAACATGGTACTTCCAGAAAGCACAGGAAACTAAACTAGAATTTCTAGTATTATGCTAAGGAACTTTCCAGCTTAAATGTATGAAGATAACTGACTGGTTAAGAAACAGCTTAGAAAAATATAGAGCAGATTTGGAAAATACAATAATATTTTTTTTCCCCCTATCTTGGCTGCTTTGGTACAGGACAGTGGCATGGTCAAAAATACCCTGTTAAATATTTGGACCTGGAAGCCATGAAGGAGAAATGCTACTTTATCCTTTTTTTCAGGATGATCTTTGGAGAATTAGTTATTGTTTCTGTAGCTTTTTTAAACTGGGGTTCTGGCCTATCTACCAAGATAGCTTTTGCACTGGAGACACTGAGCTGGCTTGCAACTTATAAATTTTCCTGGTACATAATAGATCAGGTATTTTCTTTGACTTTCTGTAAATCCCCAATGCATCCTGAGTCTGGGCCTCTGTCATTTGGTAAAGTATTGATAAGCCAAATTCAGCAGTTACTGCTTAAATATCAAAGTTCAACTAATCTGAAAATCCTGTGCAGCATTTTGAATATTCTTAACGAGGATATTTTTTCCTCCTGTGATTTACTGTGCTGATAAAATAGTGCTATTTATGAGCAATGAGTTGTGATTTGAATTCTGTGCCAGGGCCCTTTTTTGCTAAATCTCTGGAATTAAATAGCTGAAGAAAAAAATTTAGGTTCTAGATCTTATTTTTTAAAAATATTGAGCTATCTGATTCCCACTGATATCAGCTGAGGCTAAAGGCCTGCAATTACAATATTTTTCTAACCATTTTTCTACTTAGTTATTTCATGGGAGTTTTAACGTAGTGTGCACCTTTGGATGCCATCAAGATGTGAAAGATTTCCTGCCTGGCTGCTTTACCTTTGCACTCCTGAGTTGGTAAAAATGGAGAATGGAGACTTGTCAGCTAGAAAGATGTGCCCGAGGTCTGCTCCCAACAGCAAGTCTTCTGTTTGCAGGCTGGCTTGTTAGGGAAGGAAGATCTTCAGATGTTACAGGGGAAGGCAGATGTTGATGGTTCTTGCAGGATCAGTGCTCAAATAAGGAAGATAGTAATGGAATTCTCCCAGTTCCCAAAGAATAAACTTAGTCTAGTCAGGAATCTTACCTACATGAAGGCTTCTCTTCCCATTAGCCAACAAACTAGTTGCCTGAGTCTAAGCAGAGAATGTTGCTTTTCAGGTAGCTGCTGTGGCGTCACAGACAAGGAAAAGGATAACTTAGAACAGAGCTTGAAAAGAGAATTGCCATGTAACAAGTCACTGTACCAAGAGTGGTTACACTCTGTGCTTGAAATAAGGGTTTAATTTAAACTTAATGAGTTTGCTGCCTACTGGTTAGAACTAAATTGATTAGAAGTATGTTTTGTTTTAACAACTGTGCTGCAGGAGAAGTGTTTATTACATAGCTGTTGAAGTGACTGTTTTCTTGATCATTTGATATGTCATGTCCAGTAATAAAAATGGATGTAAAGCAATGCAGAATCCATCCTACTTAGGGCTCATAATTAAATGCTTTCAAAAAATGTTTATCAGAAGTCTCCACTGTGGCTTGTAGCTAATTTGATCAAATGGTAAGATCTTTCTCATCTCACCTGTGTCTGCAGCAGATAAAATTGTGGGAGGGATATGTTGCTTAATTAACCCTGCAATTCTTACATTTGGGTTAATTAGCATCTAAATTAAGGTTTCTTTTGTATCATATGCTTGGTGCTGTAGTTTATTCTGCACAATTTATTCATCTGCTGCTAAGATATTTCTGCTTGCTTAAATGCTTTGATTGTTTTCATATGAAATTATAAAATTTTTCCTCTGCCGTATATGCAGCTCCTTGGGAAGCAGTTCCATGACACATCACCTGCTCACCAGGATAACTGAGTGTTCAGAGACTTAACAAGATCCTGATTGCCCTTGATATGGACCTGAACAAACCTGGAATCCTGATTTGGTCCCCATGAAGGTTATGGGTGAATGAAGCCCACCTGCAGTGGTGCTTGGCAGGATTTAAATGTGCCCAAATGTTTCCTTGATTTGGATGCCTTGGTCTGGATACATTCAGCCATTCCAACCTGTCTCTACTTATTCATGAGGCATCACTTTATTTATGAAATGCAAAACATTTGACTGGAAAATGGCTGAATTCTTCAGAAACATCTATATTCATAATAAAGATGAGAAAAAATGAAGACATTAAAAAGTTGTTTCAGCTTTCTCATCATATTAGAGTAGGAAAGCTCCAGATTTCAGTTTCTGACACTGAGACCATCACAGAGAGATCCAGCCTGTGACCTTCTTCACTCATGTACTCAGAGTTTCCCGTCACCCCTCTGATGGATGGCTTAGGGCTGTCCAAGTTAAAAGGGTTACACAAAAATCAGAGTGAAGAATAGAACTGTGTTCTGTTGTTTGAATTCCCAGGAAGAATCCTTACTCGAAAGGACAACAAGAGTTTGCAAGCCCCTGCAGTGAGAATGTAGGGCCCAAGCACCTTCGACTGCATTGCTGTTGGTTGGATGGCTGCAAAGAATTCAGTTGTTCATCGAAGCACAGGAAGTCACTGGCTGATGTAAAACCAGTCTGGATAAACTGCTTTATTCGAAGAATTGATGTAAATCAAATGCTTGTTGCAACTCTGAGGAGTACTTTTAAATATGGCTGGCCCACATAACTTGCAGTCTCTAGCTCTTCTTAAGTAGACACTGTAAAGAGTAGGAATTAAAACGTTAAGAATAAGCTGAGAAATGTGGGGTTTAATCTTTTCTCATTCCAAAACAATCTGTCAATGTCAGGCCCAACTTAACTGTGATGAACAATTTCCCTGTAAAGGAAAAACCTTTATCACAGAAGCTCCTTAAAACAGCTTATGAATTATTTCACAAGGAAAATAGCTGTTTTTAGAGAATGCTTCATAAACAGGAAGGCCAAATCTGTGTTCTGGATTTCCAGCAATGAGAAGGCACAGCAGTGGTTTTATGAGTTACAGGATTTCATGCACAGAGGTCCATGACTAGAAGCCTCTACAGTCAGCTCTTAGGAGCTTACCATGATGATGTGTAGTCTTCAAACCACAAACTTTCAGACTGATTAAATTGAGCTCAGTGTATTGTCATCTTTGCAAGACAGATTTTTCTTTTGGCTTGTTCATGCTGTATAGTGCAAAAAAGCCCCAGAAAAACAAACCCCCCAAACCAACAACAAAAAACCTGACTGTGCAATTATACTGAAAAGTCTGAAACAGTGCCGATATGAAGTTAAAATTATTTCCTTATTGTATCTGTGAAAAATATTCCTTCCTAATGCATTATTCATTATGAACACATTAACTCTGGATGACATCAGCCCAATTGAGAAGCAATTTGATGGAAGTATTGTCTAGGAAACCATGCGCTATTCCCCTTAACCACCGAAATGAAATAAGCTAGCGAATAAATATTCAACACTGGTACTTTATCCACTTTTCTGTAACTGATCAAAACCAAGCTGTGAAGCATGTGAAAACTGAAATTAGCCTATTGTGCAGGAAATCTGTGCACAGTATGAAAATAGGTGTGCGTGTGTGTGTATGCACAGCACTACTGAAGTATTTACTATTCTTGAGGCTGACAGAATTGCTTATTACTGCTGAGACTTTCTGTTGTGAACAATTGAAGAGAAGGTCTTTGCCAAAATGTAACTTTTTGAACTGAATTTTCCATACCTGAAAATCTGCTTGAGTCTGGATTTTTGGTTTGTTTGGGGCTTGGTTTTTGGTTCGTTTGGGGTTTTTTGTTGTTTCTGGGGCTAAACTTGGTAACCTTATTGTTCTTGTAATGTAATACTGAGGAGAAATGCAGGGATGGGAGGACAGAAGAGGAAGGTGAGCAGGGAAAAAGAGCTAATTGACTAATGTCTAGACCAAGTCATTGAACTGCTCATTCAGACTTGGGGGAGCAAGCTGTGCATCCAAAACATGACCAGTCTATTCTGAGTTGTGCACCTTAGTTCTGTCTTAGCTTATATGTGTCTGTTCAAGGGGGCTACAAAGCCACCTGAAATACAGACCTAAATGTTCCTGCCAATATGAGGGAAATCCCAGATGGTGAACAGCTGGCTATGATGATGCCCCAGGTTTCACTTCCTTTTCAGAGAGATGCTAAAGGATTTTTACCAGCTGTTGTTGCTGGGAGCAGCTGACAAAGTGGTTTTCAATGCATATTTTTAGTTTTGCCCTGAATATAGCTTAGTTAGATGCAAGGATCAGGTTAAACACCTCTCTCAGCATTTTTGTTGTAACTGAATCACAATATTTTCCATTTATTACAGAATGAGAAAACATACAGTGTTGATTTCTGATATAGAAGTTACTATGTCAGAGCCTTAGCAGGGATAAATTACATCAGATTGCATCAGCATATGTATGTCACTGCTTAAGTCAGATGAATTGGCTAAAGTGAAAAAGGCCCAGTGAAGGATAGTGGGATACAGGTACATTTATACTTCATGCAGCATATTGAGTATTTCTGCAGAAAGTGAGCTTCTTCCCGCTGTGGTTCACCACTTTTTTGGAGTAGTTGCAGTGCAGTGACCAAGACTATTGGAAGTTACAAGCATAATTAGTTCCTCTATCTTATGCACCTGGGAATCAGAGTATGGGAATAAATGATTCCCTTAAGCAGATTGAACAAATAATTTGTGATGGTTAGCCAAAGAATTATCTTGTGCCTGAAGCTTGAATTAGAAAAGCAGATTTTTTGAGGGGGAAGTTCCTGTAAGGTTGAACCACAGGCACTACTGTATCTGGTATTGAATGTTTGGGAAGATAAGAAGGTATAATGCTCTTAAAGGTTGACACTGGGTACTGTGGTTCTCTAGGGAAGGAGGAGTTTCTGAAGAGTGAGGGGAAATAACTAGAAAAGGCTGATAAATGATGTTAAAATGTTTAACGAACAGTTGCATCCTGCAGTATTTGGTAGCCTTTATAATGTTGTTGCAAAGCTGGAGTAAACATGAAAATTACTGTGCATATTATAAAAAGTGTGGACAGTACAGCAATGAAGTACTGAAATAACACAGCAGAGCTGGAATGAAAACGGTCACAAAAATCTGACCCTGTGCAAAGCTCGCCCAGGAGGGAATAAGGCAACTGCAATCACTATTACTATGCAGAGTGCTGCCTTATCACACACAGCAGTAGGTAGAATTCACTGTCAGGATTTTCGTGTCTTGTTTCCAATATGAGATTTGTCATTCAGAGCAGACAGCATTAAATGGCACCTTTGTTTTCTACTGAGTGAGGATATGCACCCCTGAGCATCAGTTTAGCCCTGGAACTTTCGGATAAAATGAAAGGCAACGTACAAAGAACTGACTTGTTTTCTAAGAATAAGAGTGAAATATCTACAGATCTGGTCATAATGCCAGGGTGGAAAAGTAAATGAAAGAACTGGCACTTGTGTCTCTTTGCTGTGTCATTACTATGATTTGCTGGGTATTCAGCATATTTAGAAGAATCAGATGAGGTGGTCAGTGCTGGGGGTCAGGTATTTAGGGATTACCCAGGGAAAGCTTTGATCTACTGACAATTCTTCTGTACTGAACTGGTGGCTGTAGAAAGATTGGTGATGAATCCTCAGAGTGGAAGCCAAATACACACAATATAAGTGTTTCTCTTGACCACTTTTTAATCCATTTATTAATTAAACTGATACAATGTCCTTGCACCTGACTGGTAGCTGTGCATTGTAAAATGATGGTCAGGTAGATTCCAGCAATGGCAATGAGCTGTTCAGGCATGCCAAGATACTTCTTCATAGATATCAGTAGGATGGCTTATCCACTGGGATTTTGTTTCCTCTAGCTTTTATTTCCATAGCTTTCTGAATATAAATGTGTAAAAAGAGTTTGAAGAAAAGATGTAGAGATTTTAACAGGACAATATGCCATTCACATTTGAAACGACTGTAGGTGACTCCAAATGGTACAGAACTAAAGAACTGGCCAAGCCTTGCCTAGCAACCCAGTCATAGAAAATTGATTACTGAAGAAAATGCCATTGTTTTGGTGTAGCTTAGAGAATTACCACTTTTTAAGTAATACTTGTCAAGAAATGAGTGTCTCTGGTTTAAAATGTACAAAATAACATTGTTATCTTGCAGTGACACTATTAAGAAAATTACAGAACTGGTGTTTTGTGAAGGGATTCGTGATTTGTCATCTTGACCAAAATATGAACAATTCTATTTACTGGAAAGATTTATATATATATATATATATATATATATATATATATATATACCTAGGGCAGAATAATTCAAAAACTTTATTATTGGGAATAGAGGCAATTCCTCCATCTGATAACAAAACTTTATAGCAAAGGCACTTCTTTGATGTTAATTTTGTCAAGTTAGGTACGTGTCATTTACTCAAAGCCCTTTTATTTGCGGACTATTCATTAAATGTTGGAGATATTGGAGATTATTTTTGAAGCCTGTCGAAGCAGTTTAAAATATTCCATATATCTAGCTAATACCAGTAGGCTCTCATTTATTTTAATCCGTATATGATACTCAAGTGCTCCAGTAAGCTTTAATTATAGAAGCAAAACCAGTGGAAGTGACCTGCAAGAACAAATGGGTTCTTTTTCCCATTAACTCCTCCTCCATCCCAGTCTCTAGCTGCATCCTCAAGGTCTGAAAAAGCCTTACCTCATCTTACACAGAAGAGCTATTTCAGTGCTGTGTTCTGTTTTCCTAGACAGAAAGGACAGCGTAAAAAGGATGCTCTCCAGTACTTTAAGGCACGAAAGAAGTGTGAACCATGTAGTAGGACCTGTCTTACTGCATGAGAAGGCAGCCCCAAGTGGACAGCCCCAGCTTTGACTCTGGCCTTTTGCTGTCAGATTGATCAGAATTTCCCTGTTGGGAGCCTCACGTGCACAGCTCATTCCCACTTGCCCTTTAGCATCAAGAGAGAAGCTTCAACACTTCCCCTCATGTTTAGTGTCATTACCGAGGGACTTGAATAAGACATGACACACCCCTTGCAGCTTTTGCTCTTGGTTGCTTTTTCTATACTGGCATAAGCTGGCTCCTCTTCAGGGAAGTACTTAGAGATGTGCCCAGCCAGCTATAGGACTTAATAGGGGTACTGAAAAACATGTCTGAAATACCTTCCTGAATTCGGACATTAAATAAACCTGCTTAGGATGCAAAAGGTATATTTAGGGAACAGTGAAATAGGTAGCTGTGTTCCTGTTTACTTCTGAGGGAAGTTAAAGTGAGTTATTCCAGTAGTGTTTTGGTAATATAGCCAGTTCTGGTGTCCAAACTTACATTATAGCACTGAAACAAAATGCATACACATTTGCAAAATATTAAGTACACAGCTAAACAAAACAAGTACATACTTGTCACAGTGTACTGTGGCTTTTTCTTAACCAGCACGGATATATTTTTAAACGGTAGGTGCACACTGTGCGCAAATATTGCAACGATATTTCATCCCTAACAGAGCACGGGGATAAACTAAGTGAAGTCACAGCATAAAAATTAATTTTGTGCATTTCTTTTAGAGAATAATGGAATTTTAAGGAAGTCATTATGTTTACTACCTACTGAATGGTCTTAGGGGACAGACAGCCAAAAATCAAAGTATCAGCTGTTTGACATTTGTGCTGGCACAAAGCCCCAGTTAATTAGATCTAATGTTACAGCCATGACTCAGTAGCATTCCCTTAAAGGAAATTGTGGAAATGG